TTTTTTACTGACCAGTAACAGGATCGCAACCCTCGGTGTCGTGCCCGAACCGGGGACTGGCAACAGGATCGCAACCCTCGGTGTTGCGCCCGCACCACGCTCAGCCAGTGAGTGGGAACCGGTCTCCACAGGGGATCCGAACCCTCGGCGGGAGCGCCGCCACACTCCCAAGCGGCGCACTCTCCAGTGCGCCACTGGGCCAGCCCAGGCAACATGCTTTTTTCGCAGGGACAACTGGGAAAGGGAGAGGAAGAGTGGAAGAAAGAGAGAGGCTGAGGGAAGGAGGAAGGGACGGGCAGGGAGGGAGGCGCAGAGTGCTATGGGGACGCCTCTGTGGTGTCCTCAGAGGAAAAGAGGCACTGGATTAACATCATTTAGAGTCCCAATGACTCAGCTGAGCAGATCCCAGGCCCCAGTCTGAATCTAGAGTTTGTTCTGTGATGCTACGGAGCGATCAAATCTATAAAACTAGTTCAATGTGCTGTTGAAAAGCTTCTCAGCAGATGGATCTGAATATGGCAAAGTGAAGTCCCAGCCCCTGAGTATAGCGGCCACATGTCTGAAGACACATCTGAGACAGCCCCATTGTTATGGCATTTTATAACCATCGATAAAGGGGAGTCACAAGACATGCTGCTCTTTAAGATTTCGTTCTTGTATCTTTGAAAGCCTTCACATTAAATACACTCACAAATTTAAAAGGAACCTTGGTCAGACTCTCTTGGTTTGGAAAATGTGTCTGCTGTACAAATGGTCTCGTTCCCACTGCCACGCTGCCAGTTTAAAGAAGACGCTTAACTGCAAGCCACGTAGGGAAGTTACCCGAGGCTCTGAGAACTAGGAGAGCTAGTCAGAAGTAACACATACTAACTAGTTAGTTTATGAAACACCACGAGATGGATCACAGCTAAAGGAGGATCACAGCTAAAGGTGGAGGATGTTCATTAGGAAAGGGAATGAGCAAAGACATAGAGGGAGAGACACAAAATCAAATTTACCAAGACATGCAAGTCACACATTGCCACATTTAACCTGACATCACCCTGAAAGATCAATTAGCCCCTTTTCACAGATGAGGCAGCTATGGAGGGGGCAGTCACCTGCCCAGGACCCCCACCTGGTTCGTGGGGGGGTCCGTGGCTTCCTAGGGCTTCCTCTTCCTTCCACACCACTCTGGGCCCACACGCCACACCTACCCAACAGTGAAGCAATCCTTCCTGGCAAATAAGCCCTCCACAATCCACCAGGACCACACAGGGATCCAGTCTGAAAAACAGTTTTTCAAATGCCCAATGTCTATAGCAGAAGCTTGATTTAAGAAAAAAAAAAATTGTATCAGATACCTCAGTGTCATCTACTTCATTCTCTTCGGAAAGGCTGGGTATTTCAATCAGTCCCTTGTGCTTCCCACCAGATCCTTTAATTGTACCTAAAATGAGCAAAACACGTTCTTCAATTAAAAAGTCACAATAGGTTTCATGCCAAACTGCCACGCCTCCCTGACTAGCCCGCCCTCCTGCACAGGGCTCTGCACCCCTGTCAGACGTGGGCAGCCGGGAAAGGTGGGGTGGGCCCAGGCCAAGGACAGCACAAGGAACCAAGGCTGGAGTCAGTCAGTCTGTAATCCAGGTTTCTCTTCTTGTCCTGTAGTGTTCTCGAGCTATCTTGAAGGGGAGGAGAAGTCACAAGATGGATGGGAGGACAGAAGGGGCCACTGACTTGTGATCCTGAGAAGAGTGAGAGGAGGGAGGCTGCGGCTTGGGGAAGTTCTGTGTGGACTCCATGCAGCTGGAGTTCCTGCAGGACTAGAGTGCTGCCTCTTCCCCTGCGGATCTCATCTGCCACCTCTGGTACTCGCCTCTCACAAACAACAGGTGAGTCTTTGCAGCCTGTCCCCTGGCTGCTGCCCAACTAGTCCCTGCCCTGCAAAGGACCTAGTTGTTGCTTCGGGCAAAGGGAGACTGAAGAGACGCAAGCTCATGAGGGTCCTCAGGGTCCTAGAGCCCTGTCCTGGGGCACAGGGGCACAGAGGCTGAGCCTGTTACGATCCAGCCAGCAGCAGCCACTGAGGGCCAGCACCTAGCCGGAGGGTACTGCGCCTAGGCAGGGGTGGGACTGCTTTAGGTACTTGCTGAACACCTCCCTGGACTCTGGCCTGGCCTTCACTAGCAAGGCAGCCACCAGGGCAGAGGCCCAAGGCCAGTTTCCTGGGCTGCATTCTAACACAAATTCTCAAGAACAGGGCTGACTTCTGGGCTGAGACCCAAACTTTAACACAGCATAATCCTCCAGAACCAGATCTCTCCCTCACTTCTCCTCGCCTTTCTCTGTGTTTCCACATTGTGGGGGTTTTTTTGACCGATAAGGGGATTGTAACCCTTGTCTCGGTGTTGTCTGCTCCACAATCAGCCAGTGAGTGCACCGTCCACCGTCCTATATAGGATCCGAACCCACGGCCTTGGTGCTATCAGCACCGCACTGTCCCGAGTGAGCCACGGGGCTGGCCCCACATTGTGGTTTTTACAACAAATATATTTATTGAGCTTATACTGTCTGCCCAGCCAGAAGTTAAACACCAAAGGAGAATTTAACCAAAAGACCCAAAAAGTGGAAACTGAAATGCCCACTAACGGATGAATGGATAAAAACGTGGCACATCCACACGTGGAAGTCAATCAGCTGTATAAAGGAATGAAGTGCTGATACATTCTGCAACACAGATAAACCTTGAAAACATAATGAAGTAAAGGAAGCCAAACACCAAACACCACATAATGTATGACTCCATTTGTATGAAATGTCCAGATGCAAATCCATAGACAGAAAGTAGGTTAGTGCTGGCTGCTGGGGCCTGGGGAAGAGGGAATGTGGAATGACTGCTAATGGGTACAAGACTCCTTTTTCAGGTGATGAAATGTTCTAAAACTGATTGTGGTGATGGGTGCAAAACTCTGCGAATGTACTGAAAACCACTGAATTATACACTTTA